TTTCTCCTATTTTAAAATTTTATAATTTTTATGTCCAAACCCCCACTTAGACTTATGCAACAGTTCCATACTTATACTTTCTCACACTAATATTTTTCTTGGAACAGAAAATGTTGCCACTTCTTTTCTACAGTTTTCTTGCAGTTGGCAATAATATCTCATCAACAAGGAAGTAATCGTGGCCTTTGCATGGTGATCTAACGGCTGGGAATTACACACGGGGCTAGCATCAGCTTTTGCTTATCCATCATTGCACCGGAAAACACGCTCTACTTTTTTCTGACCGCCCCATAATTAAGGCATGGTAGTGTTTACATAACTATTTCATGCCGTTAACGTATAACCCATTAAAAACATGTGTTATATATAAAAAAAGTCATCCATTATTTTTCATTTATTTTTTGTATCTTGAGTCCAAAAAATTATTATTTTGATTCCGAACTTCACATTATTCCGGTTCTTTTGTAAATTTTTTATATCATTTTGGTTCGGACTCGCATGGGCAGGCTATCTTGTTTACACCTAATGATCATGAGTTGTATTGTTTGCTGATGGATGAGATACTGCTTATTACTCCTATTTTCTTAGCGGGTGTATATTATATTGGAAAAATTTCACATAAGAATAATTGAGCTCCCTGCTTTATAATTTTATAGCCCATATTTTAATTTACAACCAACTAGCCCAAAAATAATAGGCTAAAATTTAATATTCAACTCTAATAGGTTCTCGAAATTACTATTTAATTTTAAAAAAAGATTGCTCAAGCTTTTAAGTTAATTTTCGAATCAGTAACTGTGACTCATATATTAGTTCAACAAACCAAATCCATTTGGCTGGTGAAAATTAGATTTTTAACAAGTTTAAATATGTGGGTTTAATTCCGAATTTGATTGTATGAGAAATTTGAAATGGGTGTTATTTAGACTTGTTAGAAATAGTACAAGGAGGTTGTATATAAAATTTGAAGTCATTTAATGGAGATTTGGACTGGTTTTGAACAAGAATTGCAACTGAAAATCATGGAAGAAGTTCGTCTACAGACGCTTGTATAAAGGTGTATAAAAGTGTATAATAGTGTATAAGATGTGTTTATACACTCATATACACTATTATACAAGATTATATATAATTATATAAAAAACTGATTTCGTCTTCTTCCTTGCGTCTTTTATGAAATTTAACTCAAATCTTACTCAAATCTTGCTCAAATATACTCTAAATCACTTCAAATTTAAATTTTGAACTCCTTTTGTAATTTTCAATCAATTGGAACAACACCTAATCCAAACAACTAACAAACTCAAAAAATCCTATTTTCGAAAGCAAAGCTTTGAATGACCTTCAATGGTGGACTTTACTCTTCAATTTTCTTACATTGCAATCAGGTGACACAAGAGGTGAAGCAAAAAAAATACACGGCCCCTTGAAGCATATGTAGAAGATGTGAGGAGAAGAGAGAGTGAAAGCTATAGTTGTGAGAACACGAATTTAACTCCATAACTTTTAGAAGCAATGATTGTAAGAACACAGACTTTGAATTTACTAGTTCTTTCAAAATATGTACAATATGGGCTAGGTCAGGTAAAACTTAAAAACATGAGTCATTTTTTTGTTATGGTATGAAGTCGGGCGTATTTTCTTGTAATTCTTTCTATTCTATTATATTTGCAAGTGCTACTCAATAGTAGAAGTTATCTAAAAGATTATATATATGGGCACGAAAATATATATATATATATATATATATATATAAAATCTTATATAAAATCTTGTGCATTGGGCACGAAAATTTGGTTGTACACTTATACTTAATTTCTGGTATTGGTAATACCACGTGATCGGGTGCAACATTTACATGGGCAAATTCCTCTCTAATGAACACACGTGAAAAATTTGGTAGTATATCAATTGATTAGTCGTGTAAAGTGTAAACTGGTCCAACCATTGTCATGAAAAGATATTCCAAAACATTTAGCTGGCTTTTAGACAATATTTGGTTTGAGCAAAACATATTCAAGTTAAAGTTTAAATAATATCTGGAAATTAATTTTGATCTTGAAATGAATTACTAGAACTTATGAATCAAAATTATGTTACTTAACTAGAAATACTCTACAAACAATTTTTTAACATATTATGAACACAGTATTTTTTTAAAATACCGATAACTAAATTAATATCTAAAAGGAAAATTTCTGCTTTTAGTTCATGATATATTGATAAATCCTTAAATGTGATTTACCATATTTGATCCAAATTAATTGATATGTGCGCTTTAATCCCTTTACTTGTTAATCTTCACAAATTTAACAAATTATTAGTTTTTAAAGCAATTAAACAACCATGTTGTGTACGGGTAAAATCGGGGTAATGTCTACCCCGATTACCCGGTAGGAAAACGGAAGAAGGGCATGGATGCACGAGATTGTAACCGAGGTTTGAGACCCCTCGTATCGAGATCAAGGAAGAGTAAACGATGTGCTCGTCATCGGGTATGATAAAGCGACGCGTCCCGGGCCAAGAATAAGTTCTAAGACCACGAGAAATACGGTGAACAGTTACACACGGCGGATAGAGGGCCGTGATATTCGCACTCAACTGGATATCACGGCGCGGATCTCGCTCGGTGTCGGTTATGGAACAGTAATTAACGAGAAAGGAAGATTTTTACCTTTTTAGACTTATACTAAGGATGAAACTCTCCTACTATATAAATGAGAAGTTTTTCTTTTGTAACACACAAGTCAAAGCAATACAAGTTTATTTTTCTGCTTTTTAGCTATTGCTAAAGTTCTTATTTAATTGTTCTGTTCTTCATTCACAACCGGGCTCGAATCAAGGGTCCAATCGAGGACGAGGTCATTGTTCAATATAAGTTCCGGCTAGGCCATAACATTACAACTGGTTTGATCGTTTATTTCGTCTTTAACTCGTTTATCTAATATTCTTGATTATTTGTATTGAATCAAATTACGTATCCTTAAAATCGAGTACAAATTTAATTGTTATCCAATTTAGGAGTAAACAGTTTGGCGCCCACCGTGGGGCTAAGGATAATAGTGGTGATTTAATACGAATCTCCATAACATACCCTATTTTACGATTGTTCTTTAAAGTTTTAATTTTAGGTCAGTCCAAGAATGTCGAACTCTCAGTCTGCTCACTTGAACGCTGACGCTAAGTCTGGCCATCATGGAGAAAATAATAATTTGGTACCTAGCAACGAGGTGCTCCTACTGATCCCAACGGTGTCCTAGTTGCCGATCCGATTGATGCTAACTCACAAGTGGCCATCGACGTCAATTTGCCAACCGATCCCGAAAACGGTGTTCGCGGGGGACCCCGATCAGCAGCTCGGGAAGCGCCCGAAGGAAAAGGTGATGGGGTAAGCCTACGGCTAATCTTACTACATTAGGCCACAAGATGCCACTACAGGGAATTAAACTAACAATTTATCTATTTTATTAGTCTTGTAGCAAATAAATAATCTAAAGCGGATAAAAATAACAAATTAATTTAATAAAAAAATAATCACGAAAATACATATACCACAGTAAAAAGTAACTAATTAATATTTTTTAGCAACTAATAACAATTTCTCTATTTTACTAATTCTTTTAGCACACTAATACTATAGTTCGGATAAAAAATAACAAATTAGTTAAATCGCAAAACAATCACAAAATAACATACAGCACATTAAAAATAACTAATATGCATTTTTATACGAGGTTTAACAAAAACTAAGTCGGAATCCTCGATTTAAGATTTTTGGAAAGTTGAAGATTTGGTGATTTGGAGCCGAAACGGGCAACCCACTACGAGATAACGCCTTAGCTAGGATGTGGGACTGAGAATCTANGGGGAGATTTTCTGGTTTGGTGGGGAAGGGAAGGGGACGGATTTTTATGTGGTGTCTTAATAAAAGGCGCTATACATTCCCGCTCTTTTCAGGTTTAACTATAAAGCCTTTTAAAATGACGTTATACCTTTAACGGGCAAACGACCGTTAAGGTGTAACGTCCTTTAAAAGGGCATTATATATATTTTAGTCACTATATTTTTTTTCCATATACTTTAGTTTTTTGAGTCTAAAAGAACCACAATTTAGTTTCGGATTATGTAAGAAAATAGTAACCTGACGTTCCTTTTCGCTTGTCAAGATTTTTCATTATGGTTTGGCTCTTGACATTATTATCAATACACCACATACTGCTCATTTGTGATGTGGCATCTCGTCGTCTGCCTATGAATTTGAACACGCACGATACAATACGATGTTCCTAATTTTAACCATGAATAATGTTGGCTTATATTATTTTTCATGTAATTTTAAATTTTTTAAAACTTGAAAAGCTTATGTACGAATTGACACGAGTAATTAGATGTTCTGAACCTCAGATTTCGATAACTTTCACATAAATTTGGTCAAAGAGAGTATTCAATATAATCAAATAGTGAAGTTCGGTATACAAATATTGATTTGGTCATAAGTATTTTCAAATACGAAAATGTTGAAATAATGAAAATTTTGTAAAAATAATAGCTTCTACTCATAAGTTTTCAACCTTTTTTTTTTGTTTAAATAAAAATTTATGTCTTAAACAATATCAAATACTCTCTTTGAATTTTAACTTCAAATACTTTTTCCGGATCCAATCAAAACATTATCTAAACACCTATTTGGGATTCTTTTTGACTAGGACTACGGTTGGACAAGTATACACGACATATCAATCATTATAATAAAATTTTCACGTGGATTCGTTGGAGAGAAATTCGTCCATATAAATTGATGTTTTTCCACTTAAAGGAATTTGCTTTTGAATAAATATACAGCAACTTGTTGAGAATATAATTTTTGGGTAAAATGATTTTGTGGAAAATAAGTGTCGGATAGAGCAGAATAGATAAGAAATTGACTCTAAGAAATCTTTGAAGCTATAAACACAAATATAAGTCAAGTTATGATAATTGATTATATTGAATGACCAAAATATAAATCAAACTTTCTTATTCATACAGAAATCACTGAGAAAGCAATCATTCAGTGTACACTACATAAAATGACCAAAGTCTGTTGATTAAACTCATGTATAATTCAACTCCTTTGACTACCAACTTCAGTATACCACACATGGTAATAAATTTCACAAGCCTCCTGACCAAAACACCAGAAATTTACAAACATCCTTAAATATCACACACAACATGAAAAGAGCCAATTTTACACAACCATGAAAACGGCAATACTTAAAAAGCTATAGCTTTCTACAAGCAACAAAGATAATTTAAACCTTAGATGACATGGAATTCTCCGCTTTCATGTACCTGCTTCACTTGCTTTTCATATTCATCTTCTTCGTCTTCGTCTTCTACATCTTCTTCGTTCAATTCTTCTTCCTCCTCTTCACCTACCCAGCCAAAACCTCCAGTTGAACGGGAAGCTGGAGCAGGGGTCTTTGCCTCTTCCACAATTTTCATGATCATCTCCGCGCTCTGAAGGGAAAAGGTTGGGTTTTCTCTTCTGTAATAAGCAAGCTGTGCTGCTTCTGTTAATTCCCTAGGCAAATTCTTCAAAAACCACGGGTGGGTTTTGATTTCTTTGATTGTAATTCTCTGCAAAAGAAATGTCCTTATTCAGACAAGCAACAATATATTCTAATTCAGACTTGTTTTGGTTGTCTGCTTTCTTTTCTCCGATATTTTTAGATTATCTACACAATTCGATCAAACAAATGCAAAGGTGCAAACTTAAATGAGTAGCAAATGATATAAACAGAGAGATCATATAAAGGAGCTGAAAAATATAACCCGATGCCTCATCCGAAGACCCAGGAAATTTGGTGGGTAAACTGCAAGTGATAACTGCCCTTATAACAAAAGCATCACAGAAGCACAAACATAATGATAAATCCATTTGGATCTATTCTCTTGGACTATAGCAGACAACTAACTACTGCAGCTGTTTAAAAGACCAAATGAAGAGTACTGCACTTCAATCCAAAATTAGTTGGGAGTTGACAGACCAAATATTCCTGCATTTTATCGGATTAAACATCACAAGCAACTGTGACGGTTTCCTGATAGTATAACTCGATATTAATTGAAGGCGTAGAGAACACTGTGCCTTAACGAGAACCATGGAACATCCAATTTACATATCCTCTAAAGTAGCACTATCAAAGTCACTACCAGGTTGGTGGGATTAGCAAGAATGACTATTAAGTTCCATTGCAGCAAAAAAGACAGCTTTAATAGATGTTTAGGTTATCCTCAAAGACTGATTGATATTTGGATAAGTTACTGCTTCAAAAATATCATTTGATGTCATATTACAGTTGAAGGATTTGACTAGATTGTCACATTGATGACCTCACTGGAGGCCATCCGTCAAATGCACATGCTGGACATAAGATGAAGAGGGTGCAAAAACGTGAATGCACAAACACCCATTGAAATGATGAATTAAATAAATTACACCTGCACCAGAGCGTTAGCCCTCAAGTCTACCCAAGCTCAGAAGCAATTCAAGCAAACCTTTATTAGGACAGATAACCGAGAGAGGGAGAGAGAGCATACTCTTGCTGGATTGGCAACAAATATGCGAGAGAGAAGGTGCCTACAGTCCTGTGATATGTGAACATAGTCGGGAATCTTATACTGCACAGACATTATTCGCTGTATAGAAAACACGAGCAGAAATTAAACAGGTGAAAACCAATTCTATCATTTACTAGACTAAAGCTCGAAAGGCCTTTAATTTATGAAAACTTAAAGAAGAACTCACTTGGATTGTTTTCCGGAAGTTCTTTGGATCCTCCTGGTCTTCAAAAGGGTACGCACCAACCAGCATTACATAAAGTGTCACTCCACATGACCAAACATCAGCCAGCTGAAACAATCACAACCACAAGTTAACAGTTAAATCGCTCTTTAGGGAAAGACGGGAGCGCACAAAGCGGAGGAATTAATTGTGGAATCATCACCAGAAAAATTAACAGGTCTTATTGCCGCCACTTACAATGCTTTCCAGATTACTTATAATTTAAAAAAGACCAGAAGCAACATGTTGCTCCTACTGTCACAAAGACAGCTATGGTTTCATGAATGCCAGAGAATCAATAGAGTGTTGCCACTCTAACAAATGTAAAAGTTAATACAAGCAATTACAGATGTACCTTGCCGTCATATTCTCTTCTAGATAGAACTTCGGGAGCAATATAAGCGGGAGTTCCAACAGTTGATTTTGGCCTCGAATGCAGCAGAGACGACTGTGATTGGAAGAAGAAAAATTTGTGCATATTAGCCTTTTCTTCTTCTTCTTTCCCCCCTGTATTTTTTTGGGCTTGAGGGGGGATGGGTGGGTAGGGAGGGGGAGCATATAAATGTTCTTAAATCACCCGAACATCATCAGACCTTTGAGTATCCAAAATCACAAATCTTCAAGCGTGGTGCTGGACTGCCATCCAGTAGAGTATTCTCCAGTTTTAAATCTCGATGACATATTTGCTGCAGAACAAAAACAAGTTTCAAGGAAACAAATCCTTTAGTTGAAAAAGGCAGATTTGCAACAAGCAAAGAAAAAGCACATGGATAAAGGGTACATTCACAAGATGCATCAAAACTTACAGTCATGTGCATTTATTACAAGTCAAAAACTTTTTCGACTAAAAAGTTGCTCACCATGTTGTGACAGTAGCAGACTCCTGAAATAAGCTGCTGGAAGAAATATCTAGCCTGAAAATGTCAGCAGAAGAAACCAATGAACAAAAGCATATCAAGGCAGGATAGAAAGGCCTTTAAATTCGCAGGTTTGAACCAAAGGCCTCCTTTACAATGTTTTTTATCCTTCATATGTTTGGTCTACGGGAGAATTGGCTATAGGCAGTTAAAAAAGATATAATNAAAAAAAATATAACTATACCTCATCTTCACTGAACCTTCCGGCATTGCAAATGCGCTCAAACAGCTCTCCACCAGCTGCATATTCCATTACAATAGCAAGATGAGTGGGGGTTAATACCACCTGCAACTCAGAAACAATAACGCAATAGTTAGATTAGCTATGTCCTTAACAGTTTCCTGCCATTTTCAAAGCTAATCACCATTAAAGCAACTAGTGTGATGGGAAATAAAGATATATACTTGCCTCCTTGAACCGAATTATGTTTGGATGTCGAAGCGATTTATGATTTATGATCTCCCTTGCTACATTCTCATCAATCTACAGTCAGAAAAACCACCTCAAATCTATTAAATTATAGAGGATCATAATATAAAACATATTCCTGCGCTGCAGCAATACAAGATCACAACAAACTGGAGAGAGTAATGGGCCTGCTTAATCACAATTGTATAAATGATTTTTAGAAATATCCATAAATCATACTTCCTCTTGCCAAATTTATATGACACTCTTTCATTTCAGATGTCCTATAACATTTGACAACATATCATTTCTATACCATTCAAATATCTTTCAAGAATTCAGATTAATCATACCATTCAAATTTTAAAGATATAATGCCTTCTCTATCAAACTACCTTCTCAACCATTATCTTAATATTTTCTTCCAATATAACTAATCTCAATATAAGTCAAAATTAACATCTAAAACTCCGTGTACAATCAACAGGCAGTACAGTACTAATTAGAAATGAGAACTCAACAGAAGTTTGGTTTAAATAGAAGATTTGATGATAGAAGAAAAATAGATTATGCAAACCTTGTGTCCCCTCTCGATATATTTCATAGCCACCAGCTCTTTTGTCTGCTTGTGCCTCATGAGCCTTGCCACTCCAAAATTCCCAGACCCTATTTCTTTCACCAGCTCGTAATTCTCCATCTTTTAATCCTTTAAAAAAATACTTCTCGATATAAATAAAACCCGGAAACCAAAACCACAGAACTCCCAAATTGAGCTTCAATTCATGCGTTTCAGTTCAATTATAAATTGGGAAAGTGGGTCTTAAATTTGACGGTCAAAGGAACAATATTAAGAAGATTCTCACAAAATCCCAATTCACAATAACCTTCAATTAAACACCTTCAAGCTCAATTACAAAATCAGAAAAGGGTATTTGGCAAATTTGTGTGTTTCATGAAATTAGGGTTTTTGAATAAAAATGTTGAAAAGGGGGGATTTTTTTTTTGAAGGGCTTAAGAGCAATTGAGGTGGAATTGTTGTTGAATATAGGGAGCTAGCTATTGTAATTAGTGAAATTTAAAAGAAAAGGAAGGACTAAGAAGACACTAACGAGGGGTGGAGGGTATGTGTATGGATATATATATATATATATATATATATAGGCCAATATTGTCCCTATGTTTGAGGGTAGATCTATTTTGTTCATTCAAATATAACCATGAACATATTTAGTCCCTTAAGTATACTAAAGTGGAGCACCTTTAGTCTCACTGACACAATGTGTTCAAAAACTAACGGTGTTACCCAACTCTAATTCACGAAGAAAATCTTCTGCTCTGAAGCAAAACGTTTTCTCTTCTTTTATTGGATAACGCAAATTATCACTTTAATTACTCATTTTTAGATAATGTCTTCTAAAATTTTGACCTTGAAAATATCCCCTTATGTGTCCGTTTTCAATGAGAAAATGATACTGTATAACCGCTGTAAAAATAATAGCCGAAAAATATATAAAATTTATATAATTTTCTTATATATATATATATATATATATATATACATACACACAAAAAGTATACAAAATTTATATACTTTTTTCGCTACCAGATGTAAATAGTTTCTGACACGGGTTGAAAGTGATAATACAACCTGGTTATTCGTTTGCTTCAATAATATGCCTAGAAGTGATCCTCGCAGCTCTATTTTTTTCAAATTTTAACTATTCTTTTTGGAAAACTCAATTGAAAATTTTAAATGTATATATATACAAAAAAATATACAAATGTTATACATTTTTTCGGCTATTATTTTTACAGCGGCTATACAGTGTCATTTTCTCATTGAAAACTGGCACAAAAGGGAATATTTTCAAGGTCAAAATTTTAGAAGACATTATCTAAAAATGAGGAAAAGTTATAATTTGCGTTATCCAATAAAAGGAGAGGAAATATTTAGCTTCAGAGTAGAAGATTTGCTTCATGAATCAGAGTTGGGTAACACCGTTAGTTTTTGAACATATTGTGTTAGTGAGACTAAAGACCCGTTTGGCCATAGATTTTGTCAAAATAAACTTGGGTTTTATTTGGCAAACACATGTTTGGCCATAGATTTTGCTTATATTTTGGCCAAATTCCAAGTCCCAAATCCCAAATCTCAAAACCAGCTCAATAGCTGGTTTTGGGCCAAAATATCACTATTATATTTTTTAAAAATTGTCCCAAGCTTTTATATTTTATAAAACAGCCCACCATTTATTATTTTGTAACGATGTTGCTTCGTCTTCTCGGTCATCTGATAGTGTATCATGTAGTTCATTATAAAAATGATAATTTTCTATCAAATTTATTTATGTTCAAGACTATGGTTTGCGATAATATAATGAATGTTATTGATAATGGTACTGTTGGGTATTGATAAAGGTGCTCCACTTTAGCATACTTAAAGGGACTAAATATGCTCAGGGTTATATTTGAGGGACCAAAATAGACCTACCCTCAAAGATAAGGGACAATATTGGTAAAAAATATCACGACCCAAAATCTCCCTCCGTGAATCGTTGTGACGACACCTAGTCTCTACGACTAGGTAAGCCTAACACTTGCGGAAATGAAATGAAAAACATGAAAATTAACAATAACAGTAACAAATATTTTAACAAGCAATTGAGAAGCAGCTCGGCATATACAATAATCAACTTTCGAAATATACATGACACTCCCAAGACCCGGAACACCGTAAGTCACAAGCTTCTACGAAGTTCTAACTGTTCTATACATCAGTGTCTATAGAAATAATAGAAGAATCAACATAGGGGATAGATGGGGACTTCGAGGATCTGCGGGCGCGGGCAGATGTACCTTGAAGTTCTCCGAAAACAGCAGCGACTGCAACTAAGGACGAGGCAGGTAAAAGGAACCTGGATCTGCACATGAAAAATATATGCAGGAAAGGGCGTGAGTACACCACAATGGTACCCAGTAAGTGCCAAGCCTAACCTCGGTCGAGTAGTGGCGAGGTTAGGTCAAGGCCCTACTGGTATATAATAAATAAGTAGGAGAGTATAACAATATAATAAGAGACTGGAATTTAAACAAGGATAACATAGCAAAGTAGCAACGCAAAACACAGGGATAAAATGCAGGGGATCTCCCGAGATACCATCTCATAGTCCCAAAATAAAAGTACAAGGAGATCTCCCGAGGTACCGCCTCGTAGTCTTAAAAGTAAATATGCAGGGAGAACTCCCGAGGAACCGCCTCGTAGTCTCAAAAGTAAATGTACAAGGAGATCTCCCGAGGACCCGCCTCGTAGTCTCAAAAGTAAATATGCAGGGGGGATCTCCCGGGATACCGTCCCGTAATCCCAAAGTAAATACGGAGCTCAAATAAATGAATATAACAGTTAGAGCAAGAAAACCTATAATTTAGACTAAGTACAAGTCAAGAAAGAAGCGGAATTTACTAAACATGCTGCAAAGAGTTTAAATAGGCAATTAGGACACATAGACATGCTATTCTAGGCTAACAGGATAACTACACATGCTAGTATACTCAGATAAGATGAAAACAGGGTATTACTTGGTAAAAATCAGGTTTTCCACAAATATCCCGTGTACGCACTCGTCACCTCGCGTACATGGTGCTCACATACCATAACAACACCAAATCCTAATGGGATTTTTTCCACACAAGGTTAGGCAAGCCACTTACCTCGAACTAAGCTCAATCAATCGGTAACAATGCCTTTTCCACGAATATTCGGCTTCGAATGGCCCAAATCTAGCCAAAATCAATTACATACGATAAATACAACTTTAAGAAATCAATCTAATTAATGAAATCAAAGCTAAAGCAAGAAATTAGAAAATCACCCCAAAAAGTCTCCCCGGGCCCATATCTCAAAATCGGGTAAAAGTCACAAAATATGAACACCCATTCACTCATGAGTTCACTCATACAAAATTATTCAAATCCGATACCAAAATCTCGATCAAAATTCCAAAATTCGGCCTAAGAACTTTTCTCAACTTTTCCCCAATTTTTCAACAAAAAATCCGAATTTTAATGGAGAAGACAACTATAGATTAATGGAATACAACCAAAAATGAGTTAGGAATCATTACCCCAAAGCTTCCTCTAAAAATCCCTCGAAACATCGCCAAATCTTGAGCTCTCAAGTCCAAAAATGAAGAACCAAATCAAACCCTCACACATAGCCCTTTTTCTGCCAGAGATCTCGCTTCTGCGAGCCTTCAACTGCATCTGCGGAAATACCATCGCAGGTGCGAAAGTCACTTAAGGGGAACTAGGTCCGCATCTGCGGACCCGCACCTGCTCTCCTCTTCCGCTTCTGTGTGTCCGCTTTTGCGGATCTATCGCCGCACGTGCGGCCCCAACTTAACAGTGCCAAAACCGTTTATGCGGCCCAAAGTGCGCAGGTGTGATTATTCCAGATGCATCAGCTTCAACAATTGCATAAGTCCCAAACTCAATCCGTTAAGCATTTTAAACACACCCGAGGCCCCCGGGACCTCAACCAAACAAACCAACCAGTCCTAAAACACCATACAGACTTAGTCGAGCCCTTAAACTATATCAAACAACATCAAACAATGCTAAAATCACTTATCATCCTCCGATTCAAACTTAAAGAACTTGAAACTTCCAAATTCGACAATCGATGTCGAAACCAACCAAACCACGTCCGAGTGACCCCAAATTTTGCACACAAGTCATATTCAACCCTACAGACCTACTCCAACTTCTGGAATTGGGACCCGACCCCGATATCAAAAATTCCACTACCGGTCAAAATTCTCATAACTTCGACTTTCGCCATTTCAAGCCTAAATGAGCTACAGACCTCCAAAACACTATCCGGACACGCCCCTAAGCCCAAAATCACTTAATGGAGCTAACGGAACCGACGAAACTCTATTCCGGAGTCGTCTTCACACAGTTCCGACTACGGTCCAAATCCTACGGCTTAAACCTCCATTTAGGGACTAAGTGTCCCAAAATACTCCAAAATCAAAACGAACCCTCCCGGCAAGTCACAATAGCAGAAATAGATACGGGGGAAAATAGTTAATAGGGGAGCAGGTATATAACTCTCAAGATGACCGGCTGGGTCGTCACATCCTCCTTCTCTTAAAACAATCATTCTTCCTCGAACGAGTTTAGAGACATACCTGAAGCTGTGAAAAGATGAGGATAACGATTGTGCATATCGTGCTCGGTCTCCCAAGTCGCCTCCTCGACCGGCTGACCCCTCCACTGAACCTTTACTGAAGCAATGTTTTTTGACCTTAGCTTTCTGACTTGCCTGTCCAAAATAGCTACTGGCTCCTCAACATAAGATAGATCCTTGTCCAACTGGACTGAGCTGAAATCCAATACATGAGCCAGATCACCGTGATACTTCCGGAGCATAGAAACGTGGAATACCGGATGGACTCATGCTAGACTGGGAGGTAAGGCAATCTCATAAGCAACCTCCCCAACACACCTCAATACCTCAAAAGGACCAATGTTCCTTGGGCTCAGCTTGCCCTTCTTTCCGAACCTCATAACGCCCTTCATAGGCGATACCCGAAGCAAGACCCGCTCTCCAACCATGAATGCTACATCGCAAACCCTCTGGTCTGCATAACTCTTCTATCTGGACTGGGCTATGCGAAGTCGATCCTGAATCACCTTCACCTTATCCAAGGCATCCTGGACCAAGTCTGTACCCAATAATCTAGCCTCGCCCGGCTCGAACTAACCCACTGGGGACCGACACCACCTACTATATAGAGCCTCATACGGTGCCATCTGGATGCTCGACTGATAACTGTTATTATAGGCAAACTCCGCAAGTGGTAAGAACTGATCCCACGACCCTCCAAACTCCATTACACAAGCACGTAACATATCCTCTAATATCTGAATAGTGCGCTTGGACTGTCCATCCATCTGAGGGTGAAATGTTATGCTCAGCTCCACTCGAGTACCCAACTCATGATGTACGGCCCTCCGGAACCGTGATGTAAACTGCGTACCCCGATCAGAGATGATAAATACCGGTACGCCATGAAGCCTGACGATCTCACGAATGTAGATTC